CAGAACCAACAACTTATAAAAGTAGGGGAGAAACCCAACCACCACCTCATTGGGAATATAAAATCTCAAAAACCAATTAAGAACTCACGTTACCACCCTTGTACTTACACATATCCGAATGCTCCAATTCTTAAAGCAAACCACAAAAGTTTCAAGTCGTTAAGTCTGAAGGAATTACTGCATTTACATCAAGGGACAGCATCAACCCCAGCTCAAATAGGAGGCCCTTTTTTCTCCTTTCTTTCAAAAACATTAAGCAAAAGCTCTCTTCCGCTTAGAGATTAGATTAGAGAAAAATAAGATATGAATATGCCCAGCCCTCTGTGCTTTGTCACTTTAAAGAGAAAACACGTAGCTGCCCTTTCCTTTGGCTTTAAGACTCCTGTGGTTTGCCTCACAGCCTTGGGTTAGGCGTTTCTTTTTTCTTTACCTGAGCTCCTGAAAGAGATGTCTGATCATATCTTCCTGCTGCTACTCTTCTGCCAGTCTTTCTAATCAACAGGAGAAAGGGGAGAAAGGCACAGCACTGAGTTGTCTTCCTTTCCTCTCTCAAGCACACACCTCTCTCTGTGCCTCCCTCAGCTTCCACCTTTCCACCAGCAGCTGTAGTTTGAAGCCACAGCCAAGCAGAACTTCATCTGCATAAAGTATATCTATCTTAGCAGTACCTGAAACTGTTAATAACTGACTCAGTGACACCGGCCTATTCTTATTGTCTTGGCTTCTTTCCTTCCTTTTGCTTCCTCAGCCACTACTAGGGCTGCCTGGTGACTCCATGGAAACTTTTCTTCTAGACTCTGGTGCCACCGCCCATTTCCAAGTCCACTGGATTCTTTTTACTACTTACTTTTTTTGCAGCATCTTATACTGTAGATTAACCCTCTAAAATGTTTCCTCTTAGATGACATAACAGGCCTCCTTTATTCTGCTTCTCCTTTACCACTAAACTTTCCTTTTCAGTTTCTTTTACTGAGTCCTATTCCTCAGCCTCTTCTGATCATCTTAGAATGTTCCAGGCCTCTGTCTTCTCAGCTCTTTCCTCTGGCCACATTCTTCATCCTTAAGGGATCTTACGCATGTTGCATCAACCACAGGCTACACTGTGAAGCCTCTAATGTGGTTTGTAATTCAGGCCATTCTTCGGAGCTGTCTAACCAAGGTGGTGAGTCAGAGAAGCTGAGCACTAACTGGGTGCACATTATGTACTAAGTTCTTTTGATATGGGTTCCCATATAGATCACATTTGGTTCTCACAAGAACTCAGTAAGATCATTATTAACATAACTGATAGGCAAAGAAACTCAGCTCTGAAGAGATTAAGTAATCTATCCAAAATCATCAGAGCTTGGAAATGGTGGCAATGAGATCTGAATGTTGGTTCTGTGTCAACATCCACTTGGACTGTGCGCTTCTAGTCTTGTCCTACTTGTGACCCCTCTACCCTAACCCATTCTCTGGAGCACCATTAGTACTATTCCCCTCAAAAACACAAATCTGATTTTGTCATTTCTGCTTTAAAATCTTTCAATGGTTGCCCAACATCTATGGTCTTGGTTCTCAAACCTCAGTAAGCCTGTAAGGAGTCTACTCAAATTCAAGTTCCCAAAGATTCTGATTCAGCCAGTGCATACTGTGGCAAGTGGCCAGTCTGCTCACCTCAGTCCCTCAACAGGAACTTGAGGCCCTAAATTGTCAGGCAAGACAAACAATTGGAGGTCTTTCACCATCTTATTGTTTGAGGCAGGAACATATCTGGTCTAGGGTATTCCCATTCATTCATTCATTCATTCATTCATATGCATAAAACCCAAATGTGAAATAAGACCGAGACCCTTCTTAGGGTCAAAACCTCTGAATCTACACATTTCAATTTTCTTTGTAATTGGTGCAATGGGAGTGGGGAGAAGAGGCTTTCATAAAAACAGGTACTTTTTCCTATTGGTGGACTTAAAGTGGGCTGGAGCGACCAACTTTTCCCCGCAGATTAACAGATAAGGGCAGAGTTTAAATTCACTTTACTGTCCTGTGCTCTTGCTCTATCCTAACTGAAGGCCACAGTTAAATGCAAAGGATAGTGTAGGGGGAAACACAGCAGCAGTGTTCTGCAATAGCATATCTTTAAGAATTACTAAAATATTTCAGATAACTACTGTAAAATAAGGACCAAGGAAGTCACCACTAGGCAACATAAAAATGACATATTTTAATGCCTACTATGTGTTAAGACTGCACTCAAAGCTTTAGATTCATGTCTCTAATCCTCAACAAAGCCTGTGGAAAATGTTGATCATTTAATAAAGTGCAAGCTCAGAGTGGTTATATAACGTAGCCAAGTTTTATCTTTTTGTTCCTTCGTAGCTAGCCTAATTAGAGATTTACCCAGTCCGTATTTGAGCTCTACTACTTAGTACTTTCCTAAGCCTGCAATTTTAGATGTTGAGTCTCTCTCTTGCTTTATTTTTCCCACTTGCTATGTTTTATATACCGGCTGGTTTGCTCATTGAAGCACACTGGCTAATAAAGTCCAGGTACATGACAGAAATGTAATCACATGACAGCAATGCAATCACTGTGAGTTGTGCTCTAGGCTGTCTCAGGCATACTGCTAGACTTCTGCAAGCAAAGCTGCATCCCCATTGAAATTCGACCTGTTTCTGTGCCAGGGAGCTAGAAGACTGAATGAGGAGAGTTTTTGGCAAACTCATTCCTCACCAGTGATGAAACAACTTTGAATACAGAATCTTATAAAGGGAGCTTCTCACATCAGTGTCATCATCGAGTTCCTGGCCTGCTCATCAAACACTGCCTCTGCAAGTGCTCCCCTGCCGACTGCATCCTCTGCATCCTCTTCCTGTCGCACCAGGCCTTGCTGTCCTTCAGGGTCTCACTAGCACAGTGGCCATACTTGCAAGCCCCACTCCTCACCTTCCTTCCTTTATAGAGAAAATGGAACATGCGACTCCAGGAACTGCACTCAATGTAAGGACGAAGGTGTGCATGTGCACACCAGGAAGGCAATATAGTTTGGGAGACCGTGACAACTAGAACACAGAACACAGAGTGAGGCAGCACTGGAGCTGCGACAGCTTGACTTCAGGGCTGCTTCAGGCTTGCTGCCTGACAGCTGCAAGAGGAGTCTAGTCTCCGTACATGGCATTTAAATATTACTCATCCACAGCTACGACGCACATTCAAAGTGAAAGTAGAGTATGGACTATCCATCCAGAGCCATTGGAAATGGATTTTCTCTTTTAGAATCGTTAAAGATTCATGAAACTGCTGGTTCCTAAACACTCTCATAAAAACAAATGAATTAATAAAGAATGACAACTAAATTCATCTTGCTTATCTCTGTACCCTATAGGAAGTAAGTGATGATAGCCTATCCCCTAATTTAGCAACACTCTTTCAGGCAAAACAGTAAGATTTCTATACACCCCACTACAGTTTGCATCTTTGGAAAATAATTCCTCTGTGATTTTATAGGTCAGTAAAATAACCCAACATCTTACATATTTTTCTTGGGCTTTTGTGAGATTACTGGACACTTTGAGGACATTATTAAATGTTTCAAAGATATAAAAAGCAAACAACTGAAATTTATGTTGACTATATCATGAGAGATTCAAAGAAATTAAAAAAATATTAGTTTAGTACTCTTAAACATTATTCTCTGGGGAAGATAATGGAAACAGCATTCAGATTTAATTAAAAAAAATTAACACTGAAAGATCAAGCTAGCAAAGCCTTTTATGGAAAACTATTTTCCGGAAAACTTTCAGAACTCCCCTTCTGACTTGAAAACAGCACTTCCTATTAGGAGGAGTTTGCTGCTTCCTAAGCTAACTGTCCCTCTAGGTGAGTCCCAACTCCAGAGTACCGTCTTGGGCTTTCCCTTCAAGGAGTCTTCTGCAAGAACAGGAAGAGGTGATAATGTAGAGTAAAACAAGTAGCACAGAAAAGCTATGGGCCTTTCCCCCCACGCCCCCCCCCCCTTATCGGAAGATGGGAGGAAAAAAAATTTTACAGTGGCAAGTGTCACTGGTTAGGGTGAAGGGGGAAAAGGGCACCCAAACAAAGGAAACGCAGTCCCCTGGAAAGTTTAGGGTGATCTCTACTTCAAAATTCGGCAAATAATAGAAGTCTCAAGTCTGACGCCTTAAAAAATTCCAGTTTCCTACACATCCTAAAACATCAGCAAGTTGACTGTCCCTATCTTCATAAAATAAAGCTAGACAACACTCACTAACTGCCTTTAACTAACGACATAGAGGCAGAGATAGGTTAGAGATAAACTGTATGTATTAACCAATAAGGGACTTCTACATTATAATCACAGGGACAAGTGATTTGGATCGGAAAGAGGAAAATGGGGATAGGATATCACAGTAGATTGATTAACAAGAAGGATTTCCCGACTTTTCTTAGAGAAGTCTTTCTAGAGGAGGTTAGGTTCCGCACTCTGGAGGAATAGCAACAGGAGCTTAGCAGAGTGTTCCAACCAACCACAGGAAAATAGCTCAGAGGGGGAGTGAACTGATTATATGAATGGGGCATTGAGTAAGGGAGCCTGAGAGGAGAAAGGGGAACCGTCAAGGGGAAGAGGACTGGATCAGGGCGCGCTACTTAGGTCTCTAAATTGGAGAAAGGCTGGGAGGGGGCAAGGGAAAGCCATAAAGAAAAGGACAGTGGTTTCTTCACTGATCTCGGTGGACAAGTCCAGGACTAGGGTTTGCACTACCTGGAAAAGCTGACAAACAGGCTTGCCCTGGCACTGAAAATTTTCCAGAGGAGAGGGCCTTTTCGGGAAAAACGCAGCCCCGGTGTTCCCCGAATTCCTGGGTGGGTACCAGCGGGCAGTAACTGGCGCGGCGCGGGGATGTCGAACGAAGGCAGGTGTTTCTCGGGTGTTGGCGTGGACTACCGGGCTCGGCGGCGGGGCTACACTGAGCGACAAGCAGGCGGCGGCGGCAGCTGCGCGTGCAAACCACAGCACTTACCTTACTGTCATCCATCTCGGCAGACAGGCCGGCCTGGCCGGGCGCTCCCTCCCCCTGCCCTCCCCCGGCTCAGCCGGCCTGGCCCGGCCCGGCCCCCGCCCCGGGGGAAGAAGGGGATATGGTTCTGACTGCCTCCTCCTCTCGCCTAACAGTTCGTTTCCCTGATGCCACAGTCACGGGGACGAGGGACCAGTTCAGGAATGGCAGAGCGGACCCTGGAGGCGGCCCAAAGCGCCTCCCTTCGCCGCCGCCGCCTCCTCCTCCCCCTCCATGACAGTCTCGGGGTGTGTTTACAGACGCCCTGGAGAGCGGCCCGGACGGGAGGGGGGGGGCGGGAGCAGCGAGCGCAGAATGGCCCCTTCGGCCGCCGTAGCCCCGCGGTATTCTGGGAACGGTAGTTTTCCTTACGGTAGTCTCTGCCTGACTGACTGGAAAGGAAACTACAATATCCACAGAGCCTGAGCGAGGCGTCTGTTTTCCTACTTTCTGCCAGCGCTGCGGAGGAGGGGCCCGGCGGGAGGCCGAAACTACGTTTCTCACAGAGCGCTCTCGGCATGTTTTGGCCTCTAGATGCCGTAGGCCGACCAGAAGCTAAGAGAGTTTGGGCCTTCCCACACTGAACAGGCCCGCCACAGCGTCACCGAGGAAACCCTAAAAGTGCCTTATTTTAAAAAGCAACTAAGACTGTAAGTGGTGCCGCTCTGAGCAATTTGACAGCTTCTTACAGTAAGACACATCCTTGAAAAAACGAAAACATACGTCCACAGGCGAACTTGTACACAGCAGTTTCTTCATTAATCATACAATCTAAAGGTGGAAATGAACCAAAGCTACATCTATGAAAGAATGGATAATAGGGCAGTTGTGGTACATACAGAGGAATATTACTAGGCCATAAAAAGGAACCAAATACTGATAGATGCTACAGTGTAGCTAGGTCTTGAAAACATGCTAAGTGACAGAAGCCAGATACAAGAGGCCGCAGAGTAGAACCCATTGAGAATGAAAGGCCCAGAATAGATCTCTCTCTCTTTTTTTTCAAAGATCTATTTATTTATGCATACAGAACTGGGGTACAAACCAGAGGAACAGGTGCAGTGAGAGGATTCACCAGAGACAGAGTGGGGAGCAGAACAGGCAGATCAAAGACGAAGTACACTGCTGAGGGGAGCCGCGGGTGGGCCAGGAGAAGTCTGCCAGGCCATATGGTCATCCCCCGGCAAGGGATCAAATTTGCACTGAAGTGGCTGCTGCTAGCTTGCAGTGCTGCGTCCTAAGCCGTTGTGCCTCCAGGGAGGGCCGAATAGGTATCTTTAGTGAGATTGCTAGTGAATGGTGTCCACAACCCAAGCACAGGGAATGGGAAGTAGTTACTGGGTTTCCTTCTGATACAACAAAAATGCTCTTACATTGTTTTGGTGATGGTGGCATCCCTGAATATATGAAAAACCACAGAATAGTACACTTTTAAATGAGTGAATTTTGTGGGATGTAAATTGTATCTCCTTAAAGATGATAAATAAGCATTTCTTGTTCATCTGATTTTAAGTCAATCAGCATGTTGTCACTTGTTTTAGCTTATATTAGTCCATGAAGAACTGTATGAAAGAGTGTGTGTTGGTTAATATTACTTTTAGAGAATACCAGAAGTAACTCACTGCTTTTCAAAGACTCCTAAGGTGATTTTGTAAACTAATTCTTCCAAAATTCAGTTGCAGTAAATCCCAGATTTAGCAGTGAAAATACAGGACACTCACATTTGAATATCAGATAAATAGTGTATGTCCTATACACTATTTGATCAAGACCCACTCTTGGATTTGTCATGTGAACTGCATGCCTTTTACTTCTCTAATCTAGACCCACTCTTGGATTTGTCATGTGAACTGCATGCCTTTTACTTCTCTAATCTGAAGTGAGAAGGTATAATAGTAGGAAAGTTCAGTGTCTTCAGAGGAACTAAAGCAGGCTAATTCTTTCAAGTAAATGCCACCTAGCCAGGCTGTATGATTGGAAATGGATCTGTCTGGGGTTGCCAAGGTTGGGGTCAGCCAAAGGTGCATCCATAACCCCAGACTGAGGTATGAGTGCTACCCATACATAGCCTCTCTAATAACTGCAGGTGCAAAGTCTCTGCTAATATTGGCTCTCTTCCTATTACCCTTTGTGTTCGACACCCCCACTAACCACATTCCACTTCCTTATCTTCTTCCCTACCAGTGTCTAGCATGGCCTCAACATGGCCTTCCCACTCAAGCCCTTTCAGCTGCAAAGCCCTTTTCTTTCTTTCTTTCTTTCTTTTTTTTTTAAAGATTTATTCATTTTATGCTTACAGGAACTGGGGTACAGACCAGAGGTGCGGGCATGTGAGAGGATTCACCACAGGCAGAGTAGGCAGATCAACGAAGTACGCTGCTGAGGGGAGTAGCGGGTGAGACAGGAGAGGTCAGCTGTGCCATATGTGGGTCACCTCCGGGGTCAGAAATGGAACTTGTGCTGCAGTGGCTTCAGTTAGCTTTGTAATTCTGCGCTTTAACCCATTGTGCCACCGGGGAGGGCTCTGCAAAAGCCCTTTTCTTTGGGGTTAAATTGCCCTCTCCCTGGGTTAGTCCTCTGCCTCTTTCTCTTCCAGCATCCCAGATGACTGAGTTCACCCAACCCTCTGTAAGGAACTTATTCATCTTGTCTTTCCACTGATGGTCTTGCTGGGTTGCTACATGTGAGCAGCCCACACACATCCCCTTCCAGTCCTTCAGGAGGGAGACCTTTTGAAACATGCAGTAGAAATCTAAATGCATACTGGGGATGTACATACTCCAGCTTCAGGAGAGTGGTTATCTCTAGGGAGAGAGCGGAAGGAGGATGTGGTGAGGATCTTGGGCTATTAGCTGTATATGTAATTTGGTTTTTTATTTAATTTTTTTTCTATAGGAATGCTGTACTTTCAGAAAGAGGAGGGAAACCTGTAATCAGTAGAAATTTCTACCTACCAGCTCCTGCCATAACATTTATCCACTCCCTGCATCAGTATACAATGAATTAGATACTTCATGACACTGAAAATGAAGAGGAAGGGTGGAAAACTATTCAGAGGAAAAGGTAAATCACTAATGAAAGAGAGGTAAGAAGTGGCACCAGAAGGGTAAGGGGACAAAATTTTTACTTATAGAGACATGAAACAAATACTTTCAATCTGGTGGTGGAGTATATGGTGTGTTGTCTGTGTGTTTTCTGTACATTTCAAATAGTACACTGAGAAGAGGAATTTACTTTCAAAAAACTAGAAACAATTTAATTATTCATTCGTTTAGTTAAAAAAATGAATTTTAATCATATTAGAAAAAAAGGAAGAAAAGGAAGAAAATCTCATAAAGAAGAATATGTTAATCATTTGCTGAAAAGTATTCAGAATTGTTACCAAAGAGGTGAGGAGAGAATAACAGGGAGTCTTAGCTCCTAGCAGTAGTAATCCCCAAAGATGTTATCATCCAGGAAGGAGAAATACGTACATACAAGAGACTAAGTCAGGTGTCAGGTGTCAGGTGTCAGATGATATAGATCAACCTTTAGTATCTTTGTGTTGATAAGTTGAAGTTAAAGTGTTGTTCAGAACGGGTAGGGAGAGCCAAGACAGACTGACTCCTGGAAAAGAAAATGTATTTACAGCAAGTACATTTTTTTTTCTTTTAAGGAGTGGGAGGAAGTTTAGAAGAATATGTTCTCGGGATTCTGGACATACTTTATAGTCATGACTTTCAATCATTTCTTCCTATAGCCTCTTCTCACAAGGAACCTCTGAGGCATGCAATTCCTTTTTCAAAAAATGCATATAATTTTCTTCTCCCTATGCTTCTGCTACCTCCCTCCCCAGTGCATACACTAACTTAGCATTTTAAATACTCGCAGACACCCCACATAGAGGTACTGTTGGCCTGTGGAGCGACAGCCTCTGCTGCTGCTGTTGTGAATTCCTAAGCAGCATGGCACACACCCACTCGCCTAGATCTGCCCGCCTTCCATGCACTCATCTCTCTCTCTCCTGTTCCCCTTTCCACTGGGGCTAAAAGAGCACAGGTGTCCAAACAGAGCCAAGATGATCATGTTTCTGCCTGGGCCACATGGGTCTGCTTGGCACATGTTCCCTGGGGAACATCAGAGAGAAAGGAAGCTCATTAAAATAGCTTCTGAGGCTCCAGCTGGCTTTCCATTAAGTTTGACACACAGAGTCTAAGAATTGAAAAAGTATCCAGCCCTTTCCAGACTTCCACTGGAAATGAAAATTGCCTGAGCAGTTCTAGGGTGGACATGTTGGCTAGACCCATCGCCAGTGTAGAAATTGGCACAATTCAAAGCAAAGCCTATCCAAAAAGAAAGAAAGGTGGCCACAGAACCTACCAAGGTCACTGCAGGTCCATCTTCGCACATACTAGGCAAGATGGGGAAGGTATCTCAGAGGCAGCCTGCAAATGTCCAGTTATTACTTCTCTTTCCAGGGCTTATCTTTTCAAGAAATTGATTGTCTGTGACTGAGTGGGAAAGATTTGAAAACACAGCAGGATTGTGCAGTGAGTCTATGGATACTTTTAAGTGGTGACGCTGAGAAGAACAAGTGAGGGAAGCAAAGTATTCAAAGGAAAAAAAAAAAGCACTGAAGGACAAGAGGTAGGGGGTGGCATGAGATTAGATGAGAAGGGTAAAGGAACAAAAATTAACCTTATTGTAGAAACCACGAACCAGGGAACAGTACTATATTCTATATTCAGGAATGCCATGGCTACGTTGGTATGTAAATCTGGCACTTGAACAACAGAGTATTATTACTGCTGGTAGGGTAATCTTCAGAGGTACAGAGAAAAAGTGGGTGGGTCATGTGAAATTCATGAAATGCTTGAGGTGAACTCACTGTTGAAGTATTAGTCATGTTTTGTTTTGTGTGTGTGTTCCTCCGCCCCTCTCCCCCCCATTTATGTTTTAGATAAGTATCCTTCTGTACTTTTTGTTACGGGAAAGTTTAGCTATAGAGGGTTATAAAGTATTCCATTTCAAAAATTTGTTTCTGTTCTAAAGGCATTTTTTCAGAATGCCTCCCTTCCTTTGGCCTACACTGCCAAATATGCCTACATTTGCAAACAACACAGTACCTATTTACTTTCTGCATGGGTTAGAAAGTCCCAGGCAGGAGCCTAAAAGAACATTTTCAGAGTGAACACATAATTCAGCCTTCAGCTTGTCAGCAGGAGCAAAATAAATAAAGCCAAAGTTGACATGGAAGGAAAAAGAAATCCAATCAGCA